CATCCATCCATCCATCTATCTGTCTATCTATCTATCTATCTATTTATTTATTTATATGATATGTGATGTATAGCTATATGCGTATGCTTTTGGATAAGTCAGGTCAGTAAGAATGAAATAGGTATGCTTAAAAAAGTCTGCAGAAGAGCATCTTCTGAAAAAAAGCTCTTCTTAGACGAGAGGGAAACTGATTTGTACATATTTTCCAGCAATACCGACCCTCATTGATACATCCCAGACGCTATTCGGACCAGCTTGTTGTCAAAGTCATCGCTGGCCTCTATGCTTTTTAGTGAGTCCGTTTTTGTCAATCTAATATCATCCTCTCCTTGTCCTCTATGCCTCATCACTCCCCCGTTTGTGTGAATTTAGCTGACGGCCAAGGATCCGGACAGCACCGCCAGGCTGGTGTACTCATTGGCTGGGACTCTCGACGAAATGGGTCTGCAAGCTGGTTATCCGTCTTATCAAAATTCCGATCCGATCGACGAGGCTGCAAGCGGCACCGAAGCAATGTCGCCGCCCACCATATCCACATGTAAGCATTTCTATCACCGGCCACAGCGTCCACATAGACGTTCGGTTTAATGGGCTTGATTTGGCATTTTGAAGGAATTCGTCAATTGATCTCATCGGGAACCGAAGTAAGATCGCTTTGGAATATCACTTTGACGACTGTCGGATTGTACGAAGTAGACACCCCACACTTCCGCGACTCTGATGTGGCAGACATTCACACAAGCAAACAGTCAGTCTTCCTTCTTTGGATTCCTGTGAATTCAATTCACGAATTACCTCCAACTTTTTTATTCAAAAGTAAGGATCGAGTTGCCTTAATCAAAGAGGTCTTCTTCAAAATTCATCTTTTCCGCGTGTCTATCATTTTACTTTTCGCATTTAAGTATGATTTCGAGACTACCAGTAAATCAGTAATATGAAATGTATCCATTTTATTGTCTGCCTTTTTGTCTGTCCATCTTTAAGGCATTTACGGCAATTCTCATGTCGCCTGAGCACGGCTGTAGTTGCTCGAAGGCCTTAAGCATTTTTGTTTAGCATAAGATGAGTGCATTAACAACTCTTGTCCATGTCCCTCATCTTCATGAAACTGAGTAGCAGAGGTCAAAACACATTTAGCCAATTGTCAACATGACGATTTTGGACAAGTTCATCCGGCGTGAACGGTGGGCACACACCAAAATCGCTATCCAATGCAAATCTCCTCCAGCCATTCTACTCACGAGCACGTGCTCTCTCTTTCTCTTCTTTTTGTCTGTCTGTGGGTGTATGTGTGTGTGCACTTCTGCAGCTGGACCCTTCAGTGTAGACTCTGACGGCCGGGTGCATCTGCGTGAGCGCCTGGATTTCGAGCGTCAGTCGATCTACCGATTGCCGGTTCAGGTGAGTGACGGCGCGATGACGGCATTGGCCATGCTGCATGTACATGTTCGCGATGTCAATGATGAGCCGCCTCAGTTTGACGTGAATCCCGCCCGTCTGGTGGTCGAGGAGAACCGAGAAATCGGCAGCTCGATTGGCAGGGTGAGTTGGTCCGCTGACATTTCAGTCATTGGTAATTTCAGTTTCCAAGACAACTATCCCTGAAGACAGTACCAGAAGGATCCACATTGGCTCATAATGTCCGATTCATGCCAAATTTTTTTGAAAGACTAAAGAACATAAGATTGCGCGGCACAAATGTAA